ATTTTTCAATTTTTTTTCCAAAGCTCTCTTTTTTCCCCCCAGAAAACCGTCTCCGAACGAGGGATGGGGGAGGGGTATTTGGAGCACTTGAAACGAAGAAAAATCAAAACATTTTTTTAGAGACAAACAGGATCCCTAGAGACTACCAACGTATAACTTGCCTTGATTAACAGACTTTTCTGCATTTTACTATTACCACTTTACTATTTCTGCATTTTAGGGATTCATCCTGTGGAACATACACACATGTTCCACAGCATGAATTCCTTCTGCGCCTTATCGTAACAATCTCAAATCCATCTTTCCATCAATCTCTAACAACCATCAAATACTGCCTTCGCTTTCGGAGATATTTTGTGAGTGAATGGCTCTGATGGGTGTTGCATCTGTCGATGAAGCTCTCTTGGACGGGAGCCATATTCACAAATGCACACATAGCCAGTCCACACATATCGTTTTCGCTGCTTGACCCTCGCGCATCGCCCGCACAGCTGTCATGCGCTGCTGATCCGTGATACCGAAAAGCAAATCCCTGTCTACACCCAGGATCATCCTTTCATCTTTATGGGTACTAAAGGGTCAGAAATCACCGCTACTGGAGAGTAGCGGGGAAGCGTCAAAGGAACGTTCGCAGTAGTCCTAAAACGTAACATCGTTGTTGGGCGCAAGTCGGCTAACAGAGGGCATTTGAAGGAGCCATTGCGTAGAAATGGAGCTGCCGTTATGTAGATGAGAATGTTTGACAAATCGAAAGGTGACGGAACTCCAGACTAGGCGAAATAGTTTCTCGTTCTAAGGAAAGTTTCGCATTATGGCAATCCATTACAGGTCCTGCTCAGAAACCTATGAAAGGGAGACACCCTGCCGTTGTTAAAAACTCTTGAATACGGTTCCCTCTCTTAAAATTTCCTCTCTGATGCGACCCTCCCCCAATCCCTCATCCTCTGTCACCTTTTTAATCTTTTCCAACTTCCTACCACTTTCCCAGACCTTTTCTCAAAACTCCTCCACTCTCCAAAAATGCCGGTCAGCCATCTAGGGGGAGGGGGAGCATATACAGGTGTAATGGGAAAGATCGAGAAAAAGCTGACAACCGGCAACATCTGTCTCGAAGACCAGTATGCACCCTTTCGCCCTCTACCTAGTTAGAGGAATAAAAGTCGTACATTGAGGATCCCTTCGTTAGGGATCCCCAACGTACGACGTGCCCTGGCTGTGAACCCCACTCCTTTAGTGCTCAGTTCTCTCTCCGTTAAAAAGCTTAGAAAGAAGGCTAATGCGGGTCAACTCGAGCCAAACCTAACGCTATTAAAGTTGGAGAAAGTTACATTTGTCCGCTAATCTCAAATTGTAACTAATTTGAAGCAAGCTCACCTCTCTTCATCAACTCATGGCTCAGTATCCGGTTCGCTTATCAGTTGTCTATGGTTCAGAAGTTGCAATAACATAGAACTTTCCCGCAATGATAACTCTATTGCCACGGCCTCATTCCAAAGCAGTTATATTCTTGGAGAAGCCTGTGAGCCCTTTTAAGAATTCAGTGGACATGCAACGCGAAATCGGTGATTCCTGGAGAGAATCGTTCACAGCTGTCTATGGATTGTGTCATTTATGTTATGTTGGCGTTCGAATTGTATCATCAGCTGGCAAAGTGTTCGCCTCGACATGCAATGTGGCTTGAAATATGCGATAGCGAATGCAAATCGCTAAGCGTCATGCATTCACTGCGTAGGAGATGGAGGGGTGCTCTAATGTTATGAACATCCCGTGGCACGCAATAGTGCACGAGCAAGTTGACTCCTGGAAAAGTGTGTCCGGAATAAATAGGAATGGATCGTTTATGAAGGAATATCGCAGCCCCATAGAGAGGAATTTCGGGAAATTTCAACAAATTTGTGACCTACTTGTACTAGCATGCGGCTATCTTAAATACTTTCTTGGATATAAGCCGCATTTGTTAAATACCGCATCGCGGAAGGGCCTCATTTGGGGTCTCAAACGGTTATCAAAAAAAGTGGGAGCTGATGGTTTGAAAGATATAATTGAACTTTTGAGATCGACCTGCGCAGTTTAAATAGCAGTTGATCAAATAGTAAACAGCATTTTCGAAGATGTTCAATGCCCAATTTCAACTGTTTGTGAGTAGAGCTCCGAACGGAAATATGCACATATGCGGCTTATATTCAGTGAAATAGAGCGAGCCACACAAGAAGGCACATCAAGTGTGGGGTAGAAGACAGACGGATGGGAGCGATGAGGGTGTCATGAGAAAGCGTGGAGCATCCCAAAAAGATGGGAAAACGTCGACTACACCCGCGCGATTTCCTTTCAGAATTTTCTGCTCTGGTGCTCGTTCTCCATCCCCCATACTGCCTTCTTCCTCATTTCTTTCGAATTCCTATGACTTTTCCGGATTTTTTTTTCGGAGGGCATACATGAAACGAGAAAAAGTGAGAAAAGTCAACAATCGGAAACATTTTTTTCAAAGTCAAATAAGATCTCCATCCCCTAGCCAACCAGCCCTCAATGACTTCTCCCCGAGATTTCCAGCGTGCAGACGTTTGCCTTGTCGAGCCATACGAGGAGCTGCCTCAACCATTCGTTTTTTACCTTCATATTTGGTCCCTTTCTGTGCCATCATTTTTTGCTCAGAACCTCTTCGCTTCAGACTACAAAAGTCCTTTCTTGCCCCGTTGGAACGCGTTCTTTTTGAGAAATTGTTTGCCATGTTCCGTTACATTAGTCCACCCCTTGTTACTATTAGCCCTTAGAAGACCGTATTACTTATATAGCCCTTAGAAGCGCTTGATGCCCTTTCGATGACGTCCCACTGGTGTGCTTCAGGTATTAGAAGGGAAAAGTTCTTGTAATTTATTTGAGCTTGATATTTATTAGTAAAAATTGGTTTCATATCTGCACCTGTCGCTTTTACATCGTCTAACAACTCTTAACTCACAAAATCGTTTCAGTGCTCGGTTTCGTTCAACGAAGGTGAAATTTGTGTGGTCGCTTCTCGAACTGGTACGATCTATCATCCAGCATGTTTTCAATGTGCAGAGTGCGCCACGTTGCTTGTCGACCTCATTTACTTCTCTCATGATGGCAAGGTGAGTGAGAGCGAACTTCGGCGCTATTCGGCTGGGAAGGAGGGCATTGTGTTTCTTCGCTAGATTACTTTGTGAGTCCATGTTGTTTAACAGGTGTCCCCTTGGTGAGGTTTGTAAAATCTTGTGAATCTGCAATGTGGTGAGCCACTTTAGTTACAAGAATTTACGACATCTGGCCTGTCCAGTCTTCGCTGAGTAGTTCTTGATGCCCCCACCAAGCCGATCTGCGCCCGATTTTCAGTCAATACTTCTATCTTCTGTTTTCTTATCTCACAACTACGTCTATGTTTTTCAGGTTTATTGTGGTCGGCACCATGCGGAACAAATCAAGCCAAGATGTGCCCGATGTGATGAAGTGGGTACCGCTGTTTCTTGAACTTCCTTTAGCGCGTTATCTATACAGGCATGAGATAACGCCATTTGGTGTCAGTGCAAAGGGTACGATTAAACGAACACCTGTGCTGATCTCGACACCTCCCTAGTTATCTCGGCACGATCGCATTGCTTTGTCGTTATGCTACATTCGCCTTTGATCTCACCACTTCTCGAGACATCTGGACCGGCTAGCGGCTTATTTTCCCCGCAATGATTCGTATCGCAACACGTGCGCGTACTGTTTATATCTATGAAATTGCGGAAGTTTATGTGGCAGCGTAGCGCACAAAGTGCAGAGGGCATAGACGGGCTGCCAAGTGGAGCGCAACATTGCCGACCCAAGTCTTGAGGGTCATGGATGTCCGAGAACGTCTGCTTTTCAAGTGGCAGAACATCTGCGATACGAGTGGATAAACACCTGCACAAACCTCTCCTAATGTCACCTCTACACCTACCCAGCGAAGGAGGCTAGCCAACGGTAGCCTTTGTTTAGGTACCACATTACCAGTCGTTACTATGACAGTCTTTATCATTAATGGTGGCCGGAACTCGTCCTTTTCCATCTTGAGGTATCGGCTAGTGGATATTGCTGGGACCTATACGGTACGATAGCCGATCCGCAAGTCGACCACCGGACGGCGCGCGTGTTAAGCGAGCCCCTTGCCAGCACACCATATCTAGCTCAATATTAAACAGACCAAATAATTTGACCCCGTTGAGTCAAATGATTCGTATTTTTCGCTTTTTGCTTTTGTTGCTTTTGCTTTTGCCTTATTGAGTAAGAACTCCCGCATAAAGAAACAAACGTTCAGCCGCGACATATGGAAGTCGCGAGTTTATCCCTATTTCAACGGGCATCCGTTAAATTTGAGCACGCAGGCCAAAACTCTATATGAAGCTGATCTCGACCTGATTTTTAACAATTGGGTGCAAAAGAATGAAGCTTTCGATGTTGATCAATCCTTCACGGGAAACGCCGCGCATTCCACATTGCACACATTGAAGCGACACTTCTGAGGGCAATATGACGAGCTGCAAGGGTTAGTCAAAAGGTTGGTCCATCTACCCCACCCCCCCCCCCTCCACTTACCATACCAAATAGTTTGGCAAATTATCTTTTCGTCCCCGGAGGAGTGAAGAAGTCGGTCTAGGCGGGAGCAGATCAGGAATCCTCCACTGGTGCTCGTGACCCGCATCGTCTTTTGCCAGGTCAGCCGATGTACAAGTCAGTGTTCGCATCAGACCACGTCGTACGCTGTGGAACCCCCTAGTAGGGGGGGGGTCGTACTTGGTCATTGGGAGGTCTTTTATTTGGGTCTGGGATTACTTTTTTTTAATAGCTGATTTCCCTTGCTTTGCGGAAGCCATAAGAGAGGTGGGAGGGTCGTATCTGCTCAATGTTTGCGCCCCCCCCCACTCTAGTTGGCGGCGCTGCCAAAGTTCTATACAAATACTATTTCTGGTATTTGAACCAGTAGTTGGTTGCAGATGACTTCCCACTCAACCCCCAAACTTCAGGGGGAAGACTAGAAAATTTGAGACCTCACTAGAAGAACTGGAAAAAGTGTAAGGAGTTGGGAAAATTAGGAATGTGGTAGGTATGGGATGGGCAAAGGGAAGACTAGTAGCAGAGGAGGGATTAATGAGTCGTATTTTCCGAAAAATTCCCCGCAGGACGTGCTCTGGTTCGCATCCTCGCAGACAATCTGTTACCAATTTGCCATCCATGGAAGATAGAAGGCTTGGTTGTGCGGTACGGTAGCCGATCCGGAATCTGACCACCGGACGGCGCGCGGTACGCGGACCTATCACCACTATCACCACACCCGCCTAATGAAGTTAAAGAAGTTGGAATAATTTCCCTCCCATCAATTCAAATGGTCCGTGTTTTCACTTTTTGCTTTTGCCTTTTTCGAATAGGGGAATCAGAGGAGATTTGTCATCTTCTTGCTATCAGAGACTCACTCAACGATTTATTGCGATATAATAATAGATGACTTGATGGGTCTATATGAGCGCCAGGTTCAGCGCTCACTCAAAGGGCACTTGAAATCTTCTTCTTTTCCTTCACTTGAATGCACAGCTCCTTTCAACAACCATTAAACTGACTGAGCTTTGCTGACGGCGATTTACTATCGGCACTTGATGCCGTTGATTGTTGTGCTGGGACGTAATTGATGCAACATGTTGTCCTGGTCTTGCCTGCCAAGTCATCGGAGAAAACTTCTCGATGCAATTGATTTCCGAGAATATGAGGCTAGTAACCGTGCCAAATCAACGCCTCATCATCCCCTGCTGCTGATAACCATCTAAGATGGCTAAAATAGCAATTGACGAAGATGAAAGCAGTGAAATGACAGCAATGACAATCAGCATACACAATGCTAATGAGCTACTGAGCATGGCAGTTCACCGTATGGGATTAACCACCGGACCATTAACGTATGCATGGGATAAGCCATATGATGATCGTAGCGCATCTCACGAATTCGCAACGTCGTTACGTATTGGTTGCGTCCCATCAGGGCTCCCATCTTTCACCTGTCGCTGACGACTAGGCAAAACAAAGCAAGGATCCCAACAATCACCCAGACTTGGCGAGGCTTCACTTGGCCGAAGTTTCTTTCTCAGGGCTTCTCAGGCTTCAATGGACTACCAAAACGAGTGAATACCAAGCAAGCTGGCGATGGAAGGATTCCACCCATCGGAGAAGCCATCGTTCCGAGAAACATTCCCTGTATTGGTTTCCTCCCATGGACTAGATTTTGCTAATTTTCCGATTTCAGGTGACAGAAGGGCTCGCTTTACGTTCAAGAGGTTCGATCAAAGGACCGTGCCGTGGGTAGCCTCGTTATTGCCTCTAATTTCCAACCAAGTTCATCTACACAATAGGCACTAAGAATAGCAGGATTCGTCAACTGTATTTATGACCGCATACAGCCATCACTAAATCCATACTTCAGTTAATCGATGGTGGGTAGTATTTAAGGAGAGTTTCAGAATTCTGGTAGTGGTATGAGGCGCTCCTCATTACGCTCACGGTCCAGAAACCCGATTTCGGATGGACCCGCGTCAAAGTCAACCTAATTTTCCATCCTTCCGTGTTCGACTAATTGACATGAGACTTGTCTTGGAAACTGATCGACTGGAAGTGTACAGCGGCTGGCATTCGAGTAACTATCGGGGCCAAATTCCATTCAAAATGCCACTACGTTTCTGAATGAAGCAAAATGTGTGGCACATTCGAACAAGAGACTGATCGAAGCTTTGATTTGGTTTTTGGAAGGCTTTGTTCCTTGCTTTACAGAAGTCTGCTTTGTTGAAGACGAAGAAACTACGTAAATCTTTTGCCATGTTTTTTTTTGAGAATGAGAATTCAAAAAACAGTCATTCAGCTGGAAATAGGAAGGTAGTAATTCAAAGATGCGGACGTAGTGTAAAGGCACGTAGCACGTCCGTGGATCAAGTCCCGGATTAGCCCACACCAGGCTCATCAAGACTCCTACATTTCAAGGATGGTAAACTGGTACATTTGGGATTCATTTGGGTAAAAACACTGAAAGGTACATCGGCTGGCCACCGCAAGTCATTGTATAGGACCATATCGCACTTAATAAACCACTACGATCCCAAAAGGAAGCAGAATGCATGCCGCATCCCAAAGAGGGTTTGATCAACTGGGAAACTACTTCCTTTATCCTTTTGATCTGGAATGTGAAGGAAGTTACTAGATATCTTAACGCAGCATTAGATAGTAGTGGGAGTATAAATATTACTTTCAAAATTACTTCAATTTAGCTGATCTTTGGCGATGAATGCACCGAAGCCGAAGGTCGCACATGGCATCATCATCATTTCCAGTGTGCCGATTGCTCCAAAGAATTGGGAGGGCAGAAGTACATGCAGAGGTTCGAAGAAGGCTTGCCATCGCTTTCATTAAGACTGTTTCTGATTATTTTCCTATTTAGGAACAACAAGCCTGTATGTCTTACTTGTTTCCATTCGGACGGCTCATCATCACTCACATGCACCGCCTGCACAGGAACTCGACCAACCGCACATATCG